GCCTCACAAGAAAAGAACCTACATATGGGGAGATATTACAACTTGAGGTATAGGACAAAACCACTCCGTTTCACCCCCGGGCAGAATGTCTTGGTCAGACTACCATGAAGGAAGACCACAGTGGACGACGGGATTAATCAAAACAAGACGCGGCAACGTACTGTGTGAAGTCCCAGTGGGTAACCGCATCTGGATCAGGCACGCAGGTCAGCTCAGGCCGGAGCGCCATGAACTCTCGGCTTCGCCCTGCATGTGTGTCTCTAATGATCCCAGCCCGAAATCTTGACGGTGGTCAGTACGTCCGCGAAGGTCTAGGACCCGAAAGCAGCTAAATCCAGACAGAAAATCATGCGTTGATTCTCGTGGGGAAAGATTAGGGGTTGGAAGAAAATGACCCTAAGATCCATCATCGCCGTTTGGATTTAGAACATCAATCAGAGGTTCAGTGCAGCCCTGCGTAGGGCCACTAGTTAAGTTCATGTCAAGATGTGAACTCAGTTAGAGGTTCCGTTGATTGTGTCAATCAGTTAGCATCGCCGGTATGGTTCATTGGCTCCACTTTGTTTAGTTGTTTGGCTTCACTCTATATGTACCACCGTATTCCCCATGAGATGTGATTCTGTATTACCTCAGCTCGTCTTCACGTTTTTGTCGGTGGTTTTGCGCAGTTGCGTTGGGTTTGGAGCGGCGAATCCGCGACGACTCAACAGTATGTTTTCTTTTGCAATCAGCCGGTTATCGCACAAGGAGTAATCGGCATCATCATTGCAGCTTCTAGTGTAGAAATACAACCCGTCATTACTAACTGATTCCAATGATGCACGTTTAACTATCTCTAGTTGTGCTCTCTCACACACATTTGGTTCTAACGTCGTAACCCTGCTCCTACAAATAATTCACCTGCTCACTCCGGAAGGTTTATCATGGTTAGCATAGAACGGTTCCATATCCTTACATGATCATCATAATTTGTCTGACCATTGTCACCATTAACTGGAATAGTTTAATGGCAGGTTATACCTTCCAAACGATGTTTGCTGCAGTCACATAACTCGTCCTATGAAATCAGGCTCCAGCGTGATTCCCTAGGTGTACGTGATCCCATCGAGTTACATCTACTCGACACAACAACCCCTGCGGGAGTAATTTAGAGTGCAACTCACTCACTTGGTTTTTTGCCAACCAGGAAGCCTATGCAACTACATGAAAACATACTACGCTCGCAAATTGAACTTCAGTTTACCAACCGACCACAACCACCTTGTGTCACCGGATACAAGTGAGGGTTTCGCTCTATCGTAGCTATGTCTGCAACAAAAGCTTTACATTTCTATCCCATTTACCGAACTAATGGTTACTGTATGCAATAGCTTCAGCATTTTGGGAGTCACTACATTCCTACTGGACGCCATACATGCTTGTTCTTCACGTTTTAGGAATTCCACCACATTTCACTCGCTCGCTCACTGCTGCTTTTAATTACGCTGGCCATCTCAATAGCTCTGCACATACCGAACTCATGTTTACTACTTTGTATAATAATATTATTGTGATTATTACTAACTGGTACATTTCTCTTCAAGTGAGAAGACGCGTCCATATTTAGCACAGCTCAAATATGTACAGGTGGTAATATCATGCTCTTGCATGAGCAACATGAGATGGCTAATAAAAGGATAAAATACAACGGTATAATCTTCGGCAGTGCGAGGCGCAATCCACTCGGATTTCAGGCCACGTGCCGCGAGAGCTTGATCTCAGTGGCGCAACAATACCTGCCACCTCCGTTGCCCGGCACTTATTTGACTGCTCGATGTGCTAGAAACCCCGCGAAGCATTCCAGGTCATAGCAGACAGAGCAACCCCAAGTTATTGCGTTTTGCTGTGGCTTAAGCCATCCGGCGTTTGAAGCCTAACCTATGCAAAGAACTTGAGTTTGTGTCCAATCTTGCTTTGCCTTCGTAAGACAGGCTAACCAACGCAACTAACCATCGATTTCTGATATTAACCTATAACTCTCAACCGTTTGAAATTTTCACCCATTGTATGTAAGCGGCTAAAGAGAATACACGAAGTATACTCCATTCAGATTATTCCCTAGAAATGTTCGTTGTTCTTGCCCTGTTAAGATTTTTGTAGGGAAATGGTTGTATGACAATTCAGTAGGATGATATGATCATTATATACAACGGAATCGCATAGAGCAGATGTATTTTCCCCCTAGTTTTCCAGAGCGGTTCTCAAATACCGTTTTGGCAAGCCTAGCTATTGATCGAGGGAATATTTCTCGAACATTAAGAGGTTGTCAAAAATAATAAATCTAGCTAAATCCAAATGTGATTGACAGCATCGGATCCCTGATTTGCCTGTCACCGTGTCCTCCTTAGGGCAGCCACATGACGCCTGCGGCTATAGAGGGACCATGGGTGGCTTGCGCTGCACCACCTACAGCTCCATCCACATACCCTATATCCAGTGTAAACCCGAAGGAATAAGACCGGGAGGCATGTGGATGTGAGACACGTTTCTTCAACGGAGCAGACACACACTCTTTCAACTAGCAGAGCAGAGGCATCCTCATCATCAGTATACACGTTTGCTAGAGGTGGAAACCACCTCAGATGCTGTGCCGCAATACACGAAAGAAAAACGAAAAAACACGCAACAGGTGCATCCCAGCTGAGCTACCAGTACCGAATCGGCATCCTTTAAGAAAGCTACCAGCCGGCTACTATGCAGCAAGAAAACATTTATTATGCAAACTTATATTATGCTAGGAAATGATTTCGTGGTTGGGGATGAGGCTAAGACGGATGAGGTTGGAAAAGAAACTCACAGTACGAACCTCATTGAGGTCGGCTCCTATCAATGTCAACATGTCTATCAAGCCAAACGTGTTCGTCGTCTTTCGGACTCCAACCAGGGAGCCTAGACGCTCCATCTGAGGCCGGCTTCGAAGTGAGACCCTTCATTCCTCTCGTCCAAGTCATCACATGTCCACCTCTTCCCTTCTTCCATCCGCACCCTCGGTGCACAAACAACGCACGTCGCGGGACTCAGTGGGCTGGCATGCGTAACGCGTGGCCGAGCCATCGGAGCCTGGTGCGTGAAATAACGGTGCTGAGCAGTTCATTTCCTTTTCCTGTGCCGTAAACAAGGCGTCGAACCCGCTCGTTGCTTACTCAGTGTTCCCACTAGGTGTGAGCCAAACTGCGAAGGCATCGGTGGTTGAACGTAACTAGCCTCTTAATGTCTGATGATCTAAGGGACCAAGTTTCAAAACCGTAAAGGTCGAACCTACCACCGCATTGTACACTCTACCCTTAAGGGAAGAGGGATGCGCCGGCAGAGGCGTCCATGCATAATTGGGAAATCATACGTACCAGACGTACACAAGGCGGTGGCTGGGCGGTAGTTCGCTCCACACTGTATGAAACCACTCCCTGTGTCTAGCACGGCCACGAGGACCATGCCCCTTCTTCTCCAGCGACGATCTACTGTAGGCGAGGTGGTGGCTAATAGCAGGTAGGCACTTTTTCAACATTCACATCAAGCACAGACACCAGCCAACACCAGTAATGCAAGTATCTCAACACGCAAGCACACGCACTGACCAACTATAACGACAATGCGGCACATGTACCACATCAGCCGCCTCATTGACTTGGGTTGCCAAACTAATTCAGAAGCAGCGGACTTACCAATCGCTGCACTGATGATGAGTACACATTTAGCATACTCGTCTTCTTTTAGATGTTGGCCCAACGTGGCAACTGTTGTGTACTAATAAGTGCACTAGGCCTCTCTGCAGCAGTACCGTGAGCCAGCACGAAATAACCAGAACAACCACGACAATCTCTGGAAACCGTGTTCTGTCTGATGACTCGTCTGCTTACATGCGTAGTTATTGCCGTCGATCAATCGACAATTGTTCATCAAATCAGTTGCGAGTTGGGCGTGCACTGTACGCACTTGAGAATGTAGGACTGTCAGTTAACACACGCAGTAACGGTCATCCATTTAACGGTCTTCTGGGGACCTGCTTCCATGCGGGTTATTACCTCGATGGGTTTCATCCGCACTTCCATGCTTTGCAACTTTTAGAGAAGGTTAGCCATCACCTGTGTAACCGTCGATCGATCAAATTTTGCAGGAACAGTGTCCAAAACGGCTGACTGTTCGAATTATCGATATGCAAGACTTCTGCAAAGTTTACTTTCCTCATCAGTTGCATGCAATCGAAAAATGTGGTTAATATCGCTGTTTGACGAGATTTGCTATCTTTTCCTGGGCTTGTCTCCGGGAAAAAAGAAATATTTAGCACTAAAGTACAAATGTTAGAAGGGAATCATAAGGGAACAAAAATGAAAGTTTCTATCTCCATAGTACGAAACACGAACCATGTGGTTAATCCAAACAAATTTTGATATTAGAACGTCCATTAGTTTCGGTTCGAGTTGTTCATGAGAAAAGCAGTTCCGACTCCAGGTTTCAATGGTTCAGCCATTTCACTGTGAACTCGTACATTATGTAGATTGTTTAAGTCACTGCAGAATTTTACGATTTGCGGTTGACTGATGTTCTCTAGCATTTTGAATGTTCCAACCCCCATTCGTCTCGTCCACTTGATGCACGTAACACAACCACAAACGTCCCACACTTAGCCCAGTGAATAATTGGATGTCAGCCATTTGGTTCCAAGTCCTAATCTCGACGTGGCTGTTTTTCTCTGGCTTCTTCGCCTTAGGACGAAAATGGCCCTCTGGTGCGTTGTCAAACATTAGCATACAAGTGATATCCCTTTTTCAAGATAAGTTGCGGCCCCAATCGAAGTTTCATTTCGTAGTCGTGCACTATCTGACCATAAGTTAATCGTGCATCAAGATGCATTCCACATGGTGCGTTGCAAACATTCTTGATATGATTAACTTTTCTCCCTCTCAATTTGAACATTTGTAAGACGTGTTTCGTCGACCTGTTTTCTCTAATTGTCGGCACAGTGCGCGCAGCGGAGGCAAGTCAAATGTCACCGGCTATTCGAGAAACTGGTTGCCAAGCTGGGGAGGAACATGTTCCGGTGGGTTCTCTCATATTTTGTTTCTCCACGATTACCTTTTGAATAATCGAACGGGAATCTTCTTTTTTAAAGCATTTATTTAGCGTATCTCGTTTTGTCTTGCGAGTCCAGCTTATTGGGCAAACCTTTCCGAATGGCGTTTATGTAGTTGTAATATTAGTTAAAGCGTTCCAGTCGGATTCAACACTTTACTATACAATTCCGTAAAATTAGCTGTTACCCGGCCTAACTTATAGCATCGCATACTATTTGATATTCCGGCTTGTAGACCCGGAGTACCACCCTGCTATTAACAATCAGGTAGGCAACCACAGCCGCTTATAACCCAGTGACTCAAATAGCCTTACAAGTTGTGCTTTCGAATTCCGAATAATTCTGCGACAGTGGACGTCACTGCTTAATTTCCATAGTGCACCACCATTCGGCACATAGAGGGACTGTTCTATTTTGCTTAGCTGTGACGAACTTGCTGGCAACCTGCATGTCTCAGTTCGATTGCGATCAGCTGTACTTTGATTGCACTTGCAATCGCTTCAAATAGTTGTGGCATTTATGAGTTTTCCGTCCTTTTGACAGCCGTTACTAATGGGCATACGTCCGTCGCCACTTGTCGTGTTAATGTTTTCGGTTGAAATGTTCCAGCCATATTAATTGTGGACCTAGTCAACGGTAACCACCCACAAGCAGATGACAATTTTGACTAGCCATTTGGAAGCGTTCGCACTATCTGCTGGTCTATTTCCTTTGTCCAATCTCATCAGTTTAGCTATGATCTGTGCACTGAGGTGCGGTGGATCCAATCACGTTGACTCACTTCGTCGTACTACTACTACTACTACTAATAATAATAATAATAATAATAATCCTGATAATAAAATATTAATACTACTACCAATCCTAATACTACTAACACTACTACTAATAATAATAATAATAACAATAATGATACTAATAATATTGCTACTACTAATACTGTTACTACTACTACTACTACTACTCATTACCAACACGAGTGCTGTTACTAACACACGTGCTATCATGTACAGAGGAAGGGGAAGGAAATAAATTTAGGTGGTGGAAAGAAAAAATAGCATCAGCAGTGTGCGACTGCACGCAGTACCTTGCTGGAGTCCACTTTTTCGAGATTGCTGCGTTATACATCATTTTTCTATGTGAATTGCGGACCAATGCTTTCGGTGTATTTTCCAGTCTGTGCATATTTGGTTCATGTTCTTTGACTAATTTCGGAGTTCTCATTGAGTGGCCAAGCTGCCGTCTGTGTCCGCCATCTTGTTTTTGTTCTACGGTAAACGGCCATCATGACCACAACATCGGTAACTCGGAACGAAGTATTTTTTACCAACCAAACTTTTTCTGAGGTACTAAAAGGTGGATTGACTTACACACATTGCCAAGACCGTTACCATTCGTAATGCGTCGTCTGTAGAACCGACATAAAGAAATACAATACCCCAGGTGCACTTTGGTTCTGTCCGAAGTTCACTACGATTCCACTAGTAAAATGTGTACTAGCGTTAACACAAAAGTACGGTAGCCTAGTCGCCGACACTGAACATCGTTTGAATGCAATAATTACTTCGCTCGTGGCGACGATAGCACATCTTGCACCTCATCCATCTCCCTCAATTGCTACCTTGAAACCAAAGAAATAGGCCAGGCGTTCACACGTCCACGCAGTACTAGAAACATTGGGAACCACGAACTAAGTTGTCATCGCGACCGATATAAGCATGCTATCCCCATCGCCCACATTCTCTTATCCAATGTATCGACTGATGCAACATCGGTAACACCCACCCGATTGACCAACGAAATCCGACGCGCTCTAAAGACCGATCCACCTATGCAGCCGTTGCTGCTCGGCATAATCAAAGTGTGACCTCAGTAGCCTCACCCAATACAGCCACAGTACGGGTGAAGGAGCAGGTGCAATCTGTGGAAATTTCACTAAATCCCTCGATAACCGTGCACCCCACATCACCGAAGACCAGGCGGAACTACGGCGTCTTGACACTTATATGTACCAACGTTCCTGAGTCCCAAGCAAACTCCTTAGGTGATAAACAGCCGGATGATTTAAAGCAATGGAATTTCCTCTGTGATAAAGTCGGAGTTCAAGCCACTCCGACTAATATACTGTGCATCACTAGACATCCAATTTCGTATCATTATGGGGAGTCCGGCTAATGCGAGTAACATTGGGATCAACAGATGACGTCAAGGCGGTGCTTTTGTCAGTATACCACCTGCGGACTGAAAACATTAGAATACATATATTTCCGGATGTTCCATGGAGCGAACGCTAGCGGGACAAATATAATTCAAACGACCACCACACGGGGAGCAGCAAAAGAATTATCTTCCTTCATAGCGTGCCCGACCTACCTAACGAAGAAGCCCAAGCTCATGACTTGGAAGAATGGCGTTACATCCGTGAAGCCCTCTGTGCGGGCGACATCATACTTCAGACGATTACACGGTTACCTGTGTCGCCAAACTACAGAGGGAGTGGACTGAAACTAACGGTGCGATCACAACAGATCGAGTTGCGCTGCTCCGTAGCACTGTTTGTTGTGCACACTGTTAAATTCCTTTTTCTATTCTGATCCATCGGCCGTACCAGTGATTCGTGGAACTTCCCAATTCATCAAAATATGATAGCCTTTAACAAGGCTGTTTTTCCCTATTTCTTAGGCCTTCTCAACTACTTGCCTACAAGAGACTCCCTTTCAGTTCCTAAGGTTTTCGCCCCAACGGTTGATTTATTTCCAATGTATTAGTGTGATTGCTCTCTCTGGGACCCAACCTCACCATTTCATTAACACTGTTGAATAGTTTTCACACTTGATTTGCACCCTCAGATCTTATGAGGGGCAGCTTTACGATTATCAGTTCCCACGGAAGGTGAAAAACAACCAGAAGTAACATTTTGTCACTAATAGCGTTCCGAGCAGTTTTGCTAACAGCTTGCTTGCAGTACGCCCGGAAGGATCGTATACGCTTTTTCAGCAGAATGCTGAATATTTCTCTACCGTATGGATCGGACCCATGGCCAGTTCGCAGTGAAGACATTAAACGTCTGGCCGTGTTTGACCACCGGTGCTTGCGATGTATTGGTCACTTTTGCTGGGAACACCGGGTGAGCAATGCTGAGGTCCACCAGTTGGTTTTTGGCAAGAAGCTCTCTGCTGCCTCTCTCGAATGTTTGATAAATCTTATTCGCTTGCGTTGGCTAGGTCACATCCTGCGTCTGCCAGTCGATCGGCTCCCTCGACAAGTATTGTACGTCGTGGCTGCACCAACTTGGGCGAAACTTCCAGGTGGCCAGTCCATCACTTGTCAAAGAAGATTGCAATAATTGACTGAGACACTGGCTAAAGCTGGTGCGTGCCGTCTTCCTAGATGGGGGCCTCGGGACAGTCCACACCAATGATTGGAGGCCCTGTCAGACATGGCGCAGTGGCGTTCATAGTAGTTGATTTTCATTCTATTCTGATTGGTCTAACGCAGTTCATTCTTGCCTTCATCTTCTCTTCTCTACCTTCTAGTTGCATTCAACCCCACTATCTTGCTGTCACTATTTATTGTTATTTTTATGGTTTGAGTCGTGCCAACTGGATCCACCTCAGTTCGGTGTTCGGACCATAGTTCATCAACTGAACTGTACTGAACCTCGATAAATCAAACGGTGCAAACTGTGATGAATGTGCTTGTCACCATGGCGCATCTTGTGACGCGGTTTGAACTTGAGATCTGGTCATTTCACAGTACGGAACGATCACTCGATCATCAGTGCTTGCGGAACACAGTTAATGTTTAGCAGATGAGTTGTCTTTACATTTGTTGATTAGGCCAGGTTGCTCGCATACCTGACTAGCGCGGCTTTGACGTGTTGTTTATTGATATTCTTGCGAAACTCCAAAATGGTTCCTTAATTTTGTGGCAGAGGAATGACGATATCGCTGTAGTCCTCCACATCAATTGTTAAGAACACAAAGTAACGTGACATCTGCTTGGTACTCTTAGTCGAAACTTTAGGTTTGCCGTAGCTCATGTTACATTTGTATTTTTAATTTACTACTGCTTTCGCCGTTTTACTTGTCATTCTTAGCTGTGACGATCACCGCAACGGGTCTTGGCGAATCTGATGATATTAATTTTGCTCTTTCCACATTCGATGTATGGCACCACGACGTTGTTGGTGTTTTTAATTTTGGCTAGATAGCATGGTATTTAATTACCCAACCGGAAAAAGGTGCGACAGGATAAGGCGTCCATCGAGCCTTGGCGTGTCTAACTGATTTTAGCTGCGGTGAGTTATTTTCCGCCACTGGCCTCTGGACACGTCACGTTTAATCATACATACGGTGAAGATGGTGTGCTTGATTTTTTGACCACTTTTCTTTGCGCGTCCATATATACTTGTCACGCGGCACTGCTTTTTCGCTTCATCTGTTTTGGGCCAAGACGGATGTGATCATTCACGCACCATTGCATTTGTCCACTTTACCTTTAGGTTGGACGCAAGAAATATCGCCGGTTGCGTAGAGAACGCCGTCGATTGGCTAAACAACTAAGCACAGTGAAAAAACCTTCAAAAACCACCTCAAGCATGCAGACTGTACCAGAAGACTACTGGCTTTGCCCGTGGTGTCTACAACACATTGCTCCTGAGAAACAATGTGGTCACGAGCCGATTTGTCGAGCTGGTGTGAAACAACGACAGAAGGAGAATGAACTGCACTCGCGCCTAGCTCAGCGGAAAGCGATCGCTGAAGAGCAGCGCCGCCTTCGATCGGGAATACCGCTCTCGTCGAATAATCGCACAAAGCAGCCAAACGGGAAGCAGCCGAGTGGTGTTAGTGCTACTCCCGGACGAAGCCGAACTCAGACCATTTTGGAAGCTGATAGGCATGCAGTGAAACGAAAATCGGTAATTCATCCTTGGTTCCTAGAGTTTGTAGTTGTTGAAATGGGGACTGGTAGCACAGCATTACGATAGAATGACGGTGTTGGAGCGCACACTTGAGTTCGCGATACACATATCTTTTCTGTCTACACATATCGTGCTCTTGGCAACTTGTTCCACTTTTGCGCCATGAAAGACATCTGTTCGTACTAAGCTGTGATAATTTTAAACCTGCACACACAGCAGCAGATCACCACACGTCATCTTCTCTACATGCACACCTTGGCGCTTGTTGTAACCGTAGTCTGTCTTACTTAGTGTTGCTGACAGATTCGATCGATAGGAAGACGCTGCTGGTCCAATTCATTCCAGTGCACTTCATTTAGTGTGACATTCACTCCGGGCCTTGGTCAAACTGTCGCGTTTTCGCTATTCAAGCGCATCCCGTTCCGTGGATGGAGTTATCTTAGTTGTACAACTGGAAAATATTCATGTGAATAGTCTAGATTGTGAACGAGCCGATTACTCTCACCTCTTAAGAACCGCCGTGTTACATTGTATCCGCTCCCAGCGGTTTGGGAAAACGAGCCGAGATGCCTGGGCGGAATGATACTTGCCCCGTCACCGTGGATGGTGTCATCGGTACGGTCCATATCAAGTTAAGTGAAGTCAAGCTAGATTATGCACCAGACTAGAAACATTTTCAGCATTTTATGCTAGCAATGCGGAGGTAATGAAGTATAACATTAATATGAAATTACAACCAAGACGTAAAAAAATAAAATATGCTTGCACATCACTCAGGCGGACGTTCATGCGTGAAGTCCACAAGAAAAGGAGGATAGATGCGGTAATATAGGGTTATGCTAAGATGTGCGAGAAAACTATACCCTAAACTCAGGGCGGATAGACGAGCAAGAGTAAGCTTTCGATAAATCAAATGCAAGGGGTCATCATCATCATCAACACACATTCCCTGAGGGGGAGAAACACGCCTACTCTAATGTGACACAATACAAAAGATAAGCTACTACAAATCGCACTACAACAACCCAGGAAATCAGTGATGTAATGTTAACTATCACATTAATTTACTATGCGATCATGGTTGGATGAGGTATGTAAAGGAGAGGGGCTAGACAAAAAACTCACAGCACAGACGCCACTGGGGCCGGCTCCCAGCCATATCAGCGAGTGTGTCCAATCAAACGGCAGTCAGGATGCACCAACGGACGCCAATTTTGGTGCAAGGGTTTTCATTCCTCTTGACCAAGTCATTGCTTGCCTCCCCGCTTTTTCTTCCATTCAGATCCCTAGCGCGCAAACAACGCACTTCGCGGGAGCCAATGGACTGGCATGCGCAACACGTGGCCCAGCCATCGGAGCCTGCTGCTTGATATAACTACTGAGCAGTCCACTTGCTCTTCCTGCACCAAATTCGCGACGCCGAACACATTCATTGCTCACGCGGTACTCCCACCAGACATGAGCTAAGCTGTGAAGGCAGTGATGGTCGAACCTGTTTGCTTCGTTATATCTGTTGACCTGATGCGCTATGTTTCACAATCATATACAAGAGGGTTGTACAGACAGCTGCATTGTAAATTATTCTCTTCAGAACCATAGTGATGTCGCGTCAGCGTCACAAATGGCGGCGAGTGGCAAAGGCACCTCGAGCTTTTGCTGTATGGTTCGTGACCTCATCTTCAATCCGACGGGCTAATATAGCTGCCCTGACACCTGGATTTCCCGACGATTTCTAAGTGATCGCCACAGTGGTGGGTCCCTGCCAGTCTTGGAGAAGGACGTTGCATTTCGATGGAGCGGATGAAAATGATCGTTTAAAGCCTTTAATGAAAAACCAGGTGCATCAAAATAGTAACGATAAAGTCAACCAGACTCTGGGTAATCCACTACATCTGGAAATGAGCTTAATGGAACGCACTATCAGTGTGAATTCTTTTCGTCGCAGACCAAGAGAAATTATATATGGGCAATATAACCCAAAAGGAAGAATACCGGTCATGAATTTCTACATTTATGTGCATGGTACTGAAAGCATCTTAACCCTCATGGTATAAACTGTTACTTTTCGAATGTTGTGGAACGTTTTCTCAGCCTATATTGATGATAGATTATGAGTTAAATATACCCTAAGGTTACCTAACGGTGGATGAACTGGATATATTGTGGTCGCTCACCACCGTCGGGTGGGAAGTTTACCAAGGTCAGACGTTTATCGTTGCGAATACGGGATCGGAATGACACTCACTGTCGAAGATGATACAATTCGCTTTGTAGCCGTTGATGATTTAGCAGCTGGAGTACTACCGCCTAGAATCACGTCGGCTGCGTACTTACGCCCATTAAAGTTGAGGGAAATTTACTGCATTTCGTTGTATAAAAAGAATGGAATGTGGGAGAGAATCGCTCCTTATGAAACGCCACAGTAAGCTTGAAGAGAGGGGTACCTTTTACCTTTTGGCTGATTGAAGTGAGGTCGATTTAGGCATTAGTTGCTCATCAGCTTGCACACTAATGGTTGAACACCATTCGCAGAGACCTGATTAAGCAGCACTCATCTGTCGACACTTACAGCATCGGAGTAACCAAGGAAGAGAAGTCGCATTGTTTTTCATTTCGCATTCAATCCGTATGCTTTTAAGTGAACAAAGTGTGCTACGGCATCTAAGGTGGAATGTCGGGGTTTGTATCCAAACTGAGATAGATCCACAGCCGGAGTGCTGATTGAGATCCCCAAGATACCAACAGTCGCCTTAAGACTTTCAGCATGATGGACGTACAGGCGATCGGGTGGAATTTCTTAGATCCGTTCTTTTGCATGGGTGCTATCCTGACTGACCTCCAAATCTCGGGAAATATTCCACCACATAGGCACTGATTAAAAGAATCTGTCAAGGGCTCCATGATGATATCGGCACACTCTTTCAAGACAACTAGTGAACGATTATCGGGCCCATTAGACTTCCTAGAGTTCAACTTCTGAGTGCTCTCCCGACTTCAACGTATTGCAATGTAATTTTTGAGTCAGAGCCAGAGAACGAAGGCAAAGATAATGAAGGGAAGTAGGATGCTTTCTATCGTGAACAGAACTCAGAGTTGAGTTTCTCTACATCCCCTGAGTGCTTTCACCGCATAACTGTTTTAAAACTATCCACAGGTCTCGGCAGTTCTGATCCCTTAAAACGGCCTCGATGCATAAATTATTCAGTCGTGTGGTCTCAGTTTTTATCGCTAGAGTTATTTGACATGTGCATTTATTTAACATTTCTAGGACCGTTGTTTTTTGCCTCTGATTTGTTTGAGGGATGATGAGGAGGATTTGTCTACTCGTAGTAAATGGTTTCGACCGGACAACGCAAATGGAAGCAAAAATTTTGATAACCAGTGAGATATTCTCATTGGATTTCTAGGGCTTCTTTGGTGAAGATTATAAAAACAGTGGACATCAGCGTTCCCTAAAGTCTCGCAATATTGGTTGCTGAACTATCTCGTCGCAACACGGTTTTCAATGGTTTATTAGCCAATGTACCCGAGTGAGTGTTACCGTAAATGACCTGGCATGCTTTTATGATACGATGATCGAAGCTACTGAGCGTGGCACGTATTTTCGCAGAAAACAGCCAAGCTTGGTTTTTGAAGACGAAATCTAATTGCTCTTATTGTCTGGTTGCAAAGACCAATATGTTGGTCAAATCAATTGCCTGACTTTTATTGAAGTCCCCAGCGATGAGGCAGGCTGAGTGGTCAACATTAGGCAATAATGCCGAGGATAAAGCATGTGCGAAAATTCTCAAATCTAAAATAAAACCGCCTGAAAACTTCAGCTTATCAAATGACAGCTGATTGTGACTGTTGAGTAGGGGGAAATATGGCTGTCAAGCTACACCAGCATTGATGCACGTAGATTTTGAGTTGTTCTGCAAACTGAGGGATTATTTCGCAGACGTTTCGTTGTCAGACAAGGCAACATCATGGTTAGGTCTCGATCGTCCTGCTCCGAGGACAATTGCGCTGTCTGAGAATCAAGTCGAATTAGCGCCACTGATTCAGGCCAAACCTTGTAACTTGCATGGAAAAACAGCATTCCACATACACCAAAGTCAAATGCGCACAGAAACGAAACAAATTGACTTGTTCGGGAAGATAAGTGCACGAATTCCCACAAGGAACCGTGTGCCTTGCATCAGAACAGCCTCAGTTACAAGCAGACTATTGTTTTTCCGTGTTGCAGAACATTTGTTGCTATCGCTTGTTTCACGCCACTCACAGGTCCCTTGTTTCTTTGAGACCTATAAAAACAAACGAGCATACATCCGTGATTTGAACTGTATCGATGTGTTTTCATCCCACTTCGATCTGTTCTGTGTTCGCCAATATACTACTCGTGGCGCAATCTAAGAAGCTGCTAAGTTGAAGTCCTGAGGTCCCAACCGATCCTGGCGACGAAGCTTTTGGACAATAATGGCCATTTCATTTGAGCAGATGCAGTAGCTTCTCCATCAACAGCACCTCCAATTCGAGAAATCCCAGAGGCAATTGTTCGAGATCTTTGTGCAGAAGCGGAACGTTCAGTCTGAGCCCCAAGCTGCTGGCACACGGTCTTCAGTAGACACGGGGTCACGACAGTAATCACAGAGTTCGTCTTCGATGAATCAAACGGAGTACCTTTTGATTTCTGGTTCGAGAAAAATGAAGATATTTTCCGTGTTGAGTTGGCGGCGCAAGACGATGCATGGAAAGTTCGGTTGTTGCTGCGTAAACTCGGTGCAGCTCACCATGAACGCTATACCAATTTTGTGCTGCCAAAGAATTCAAGGGATTTCCGTTACGATGAGACTGTGCAAACTCTGACGTCCATTTTCGGTGAGCAAACATCTTTGTTCAGTATCCGTTATAATTGTTTGAAGTTGCTCAAACGTGATATCCATGATATTATCACACATGCTGGAGTTGTGAACCGAGAGCGTGAACGTTTTAAACTCGTTGCCATGACACCTGAT